CAAATATCACATTAAAACTACTAATTACTTGCAACCGCGAAGACGGTTTTCACCATGAATCACACAGGCATCACGTCGGCGTTCCTCCTATCCAACTCTTCCTTCTCCTCTGCAACCTTCTGATCAGCGGCTAGTTGCTCATCCAAGGCAACTTGCTTCTTGGCCACCCCTTACCTTTGCAGCCCTCTTCTTGCTGAACCTCCTCTGCATTCTAGTCTTCTCACTTTTGAAGGCACGTGCAACCGCCTGCTTGTTTTGCTCCAGAGTGAAGCTGTTATTAAGACCTTGAAGCAGACCTCAAAGCTCCTGTAGCAGGTAATTACTCTCTCATCTATTTGATTTCGTTTTCTTCACTTAATCCATGATTTATTTCTTCATTCATTTAATCCATAATGTATTTTTCTTCTTCACTGATCTCTTTTCTGTTTTGTTTGAAACTCTGGAGGAAACTGCTGAAAAAGAAGAAGGTATTTTTAGTTCTAACTAATTTTTTCTTTTAATTCAATAGATTTCTTCACTGATCTATATCTATTTTCCGCAGTGCTGAGTGTGGCTGATGCTACTAGAGATTTCCTGGACCAACTCGGTGCTAGTGAGGGCAGAGGAGGGCGAATGATTTTTTAGTCAGACGCTGATAAATTTCTAATTTCTATTAATGAATGTTGCTTTAAATGTTAAATGTTGTTTTTTTCTTTTAGGATGGTATATTGTTATTTCTGTTTTTATTTGGATGGATTATTTTCTTTTTATGGTTTAAACTAGAGGTTTTTATGGTTTAAACTAGATGATATCACGGGCTACAAATTTGTTTGTTATTTTGGTCTCATAAATATGGTAATGAAATCGTTTTGTGATTTGATGTATTTTAAAACAATTATAAGTAATTTAGATTGTGGATTTATTTCATTTTTGAAGGATTGTTCCATACATAAGTATTGATAAGGTGTAATCTTTTATTTTTCTCTTTTTTGACAACCAAACCTCAAAATACAATTATAAATATCACACGAATTGAAATTGAGAGATCCATCAGAGACCCAACTTACAAAGCCCATTAAATTGTTTCGTGTAATTAGTTTAAATTCATGTTGGAAACATCCACAAACAAAATTATATACATTTTTATAAAACAAAAAACATATGATATGAGATAGGACACGAATCATGAGAAACAAAATAACGACCAAATCGATTTTTT